ATGAAATACGGTTGGTAAAATGAGGTTCTACTGGTAATCTCATCATTCTGTCTTTGTAAAATTACCAAGAATAGTGAGATGGCAAAGATATCGATGGACCTTGGTAAAAACGCCGATATTTTTTATCGCCTGTGGTAGAATTACAGAGATAAAATGGTAAATTAAGTTACCGGGAATTGATTACGAATAAAAGTGGTATTCTTACCTGGAAAAATCAGTAAAAATACCGGTCTGCCTTTCTAACATTACCAATGATTGATAAAAAAAAGAGATGGTAAAGTTACCAACGGACCTTGGTAAAAACGGCAGCGGCGGCGGCATAGAAACATGTTTCATAAGCGTCATTCATGCGTTAGTAGGCGTTGATGAAAAATTGCAATTTATTGCAATTTTATCTCTATAAAATCGCGTTCGATAAAATCGCGATTTTATTGCAATTTATCGCGATTTTTCTCCCGATAATATTGCGATGATTCGCCGTCGATAAAATCGCGATTTTTTTATCCGATAATATTGCAATAAATCGCGACGTCGATAAAATCGCGATATATTCTCCGATTAAATCGCAATTTATGGCGATCACTACTACTCGGGAATTGCAGCAGCAAATCCAAAAATTGTTACGCATCACCGCCACTCTTTAATTTAAATATCAAACCGACCTGTGGCCTTTTATCAAGGTTAATATAAATACATCCCGTTTTATTAATGACAAACCTATTATATTTCGTTTATATTATATTATATTCTATCCTATTTGCTTTCCATCCATTTTATTTTATCCCATATAAACCGTTTCAAACTGATTATTCACCTTTTTTTAAAACTCCAACCTTAATTGAAGTAAGTTTTTAGCTAAATTGAAGATGATCTTTTGAATGAATAAGCACTTAACAGAACTTCAGCAGTATTAATATTAATACAATTTACGAGAATAATGTAAATTAAAAAAAATTAAGTGATATTTTCATAACGAATTGACAGAATATACGAGGGGGTTGGGCCGCGGAGCGGCCAGGGGGCGGAGCCCTCTAGTTGCAATATATTTTAATAAACGGGGCCCCTTCAAATAGGAGCTTGGCAACATACACAACACTCAGTTGAATTACAATATTTTTACTTTGTAATTGCTAGTTACTGCAATCTATGCTACTTGGGTCGCTGGTTTTCAAAATTTCCGATTACATTTTACTCTTTGTAAGGGGGTCGAAGCAACATTATGGATTGAACAGAATATTTTTCACATGGAGATTGAAAACACCGTAGTTTTCAAGAAATGACGTTGACTAGATTGCCATGTACAAAATAAGGTATAGTGGGATGTAGGCGGTCTGCATTGCCGCCAACCGAGATATGCGACTCTGCAGTTCCGGTGGTTGAATCTCAAATTAAATCAAAACTATAATGAAGTACGTCCAAGCGTCTTATATCTTAAATTCGCGTAATGGAGAGGTCATGATTCAAACAAACTCTATGATGATCTCGTTAAAGCGCGTTCATTGTCACCGCTTTCGCCCCCTATCATAATCATCTCTGAATTTTCAAATTTTTATTGGCTCTTTTAGTTCGGCCTGGAATAATAGTGGGCCGATTATCATAGTTCCTGGGGCTGTCTGTAGAAGCGCACACTTTCTTTACTATTTTGAGAAATGACCCAGTTTGTTTAAAATTATATGATGAAATTGGAATTTTTTGTATACGATAGAAACATCTTTAAGAAATTACTGACGGAAAATTCATGCTCATCGCTAATTTACTGCAGAAAATTACTCCTTTGTATCAAAATTTTCCTTCAGCGAAAACAAGAGTTTTTTTGAGCGCATTGAGAAATACTACAATTCTCTCTTAACTTCACTACCTGCTGTTTGAAATAAACACGCATTTTTGAGATTCTTGAGGCAAAAAGCCACAGAAAATTCGGTCTTCGGTCGGATTAGGTCTCAGCTCAGAGGCCCGGGTTGCTCGCGGGTAAAAGGGCCTGCTCATTGCGGGTTGTATACTTTGTAAATTGATGGCGACTCCAAAAAAAAAGGCTCCAAATGCCCTTACTTTTGTCCCAGGAGATGGAAAAATACTGATTTTATTGATTCTCCTCCTGTTCGGTCCTCCCTCCCCCCTCCCAAAAAAAGAAAATAAACTGCGATCGAGGCTCACCAAAACATTGGCCTTAAGAGACCGAAAAAAATTGAGACCTGAGCTCAAGAGCTCATGGATATTGTCGTAGGGGGCTCCCACAAAATTCCCTATTTCAAAGTTCCATCGAAATTCCAGTCTCAGGTTCCCAATAGGTCATTGGGAGCCCTAATTCCTCTAACGGCCCCCAAATTTCTAATTTCATGACCTATCAAATTGATCAAAATCTTCAGGACTCCGGGAGCCCCCAAAAGATTTGATTGGACCCCTCGCCGGAGAAAAAATAAATTGAAAATAATGGGGGGGGGGGCAGTGCCAGGGAGCCCGTGAGGCTGAGAAATGCTACAGCACCCCCCGCACGCCGTCTAGTCCGGCCCTGCTCTATAGGAGGAACACCAAGAGGGTTTAGTTCCAAATAGGGGACTCTGCTTCCTAGCCGATAGGCGGCCCAACTCTCAGGGCGCTGAGCGCCCCCAGAGGCCGCTTTGCGTCCAGCAAAATCGCCCGTTTCTGGTTAAAGAGCAAATAATTTGAATTGAATAACAAAACGACGTTTCAAAGAAAAATTCCCCGCCAAACAATATTCTTCATGACTTTCTCCTGAACCAAAATTTTAATTAATTCTTTGGAATTCGTCTTTTGGACCGTCACCCTCCTTCCTCACCCCGTCCATCGAGCATCTTAAAAATGATTTGATTAAAATAGAGAGGATGATCATACGATACCTGCTTCGGCAGCTTTTGCGGCCGAAACGCCCGGATCAGGTTCAACGTTGTGTTCGCCATCGGTAAAGACGACCATTAATTGTGGTATGCCCAATTCCTTCCGGGCTCCCGGTAGTTTTTTGAACTCATCAATGGCCGCCATCATCCCCGCGTAGGTGTTCGTATCATAGGCCGGATACCTCGTCTGTCGAATGGCCTCCTGTAGCTGTGTCACGTTCAGCTCGTTCACCAAAGGGATGATGCTGGTCACCTCGTGCGAGTAGGTGACCATGCCGACGTTGGCCTCCTGGAGGTCGAAGATGTTGACCAAGCGTGCCAGCGAGGCCAGCGCCGATCTGAAGTTCGACAGTCCGATACTCGCGCTGCCGTCGACGACCATCACCATGTCCAGCTTCCCGCCTGCTGTGCGCATGTCCTCCTCGAGCAGCTCGTACGCTCGTCTTTCGTAGTCACCGTACTTCATCTCGTGGGTGTGGTACCAGTCCTTCCAGTAAATGTCTTGCCCGTGGATATCGTCCGGGATCGGACCGCGGGAGAGCCGCGTCTGTTCGATGTGGATGCGAGCGGCAAGGCCTGAGTAGAAGGGCTTCAACAAATCTTCTTTTTTCACCTGTTGAAATGAATTAGACCATCTTCATGTATGCATGTATAAAGCCACTTTTATAGCGCTCTGCGACCCCTAGCCGCCAAAGTCCCCTATCCTCCCAAAGTCCTTCAGGGAGTTGGCAAACCCTCATTTCTTCTAAAACCCCCTGATGTCGCCGCCCTTTCACTGGGCGTCCTCTTCGTCTCCTCCCAGATGGAACCTAATCAAGCAACTCTTTGGCAGCCTTTCGTCCGTCATTCTATTGACATGACCATACCAGACCATCTTCATACCACAGTTAAATTGGCCCTACTTTTAAATTAGGAACTACAATTTTTGACCTATTTGTAAAAGCACTCGTCTAAACGAGAAAACCAATGGCACTTACGGTGTTTCTAAAGTTAGGTGGAAATTTTAGTTCCTAATTGAAAAATGCGGTAAAATTCTAATAATAAAACATCCCAGGTCTAAATTATCGGCGGAAAAAGCGATAATATTTATATGTACACATTTTTAGCAGTGTATTTTATCGTTGAATCTCCGGCTGCGCCAGTGAAGGAAATGGGCTTCACCGTATAACGTTTCATTCATAATTCTTGCTATACGCATTTTGGGGAAACTAATATCAAGACAGAATTATCGTCGATATTCTGACGTTGCATCTCGATTTCCACATGAGTAATAGAAAGCATGGATTTATGTGTGAAGCAGGGCTTATGTGAAAACTGCAATGAGTCCTTACGTCTGAGGTGCAATAATGTATCAGCAATTGAAAAATAAATGTGTGAAAACCGAGGATAGTATGGTCGTTATAAAAGATGACATAGTCAACTAAGGTTACAGTTGGACAACATTTTGCAATTAGGAACCACAATCCCTGGCTCCGTTTAGAAACAAGTGCGTATGTACCATTTGTTCTCCTATGCACACACGTTTTTTTACGGATTGCCAGAAATTGTAGTTCCTAATTGCAAAATGAAGTTTAGTTGATCGTTTCTGGAGCCTTATTTAGCCGTTCAGCCGAAACGTTTTGCTTTTATTCGTGAAAATTAGCCTTAGGTACCCGCTTTTTTAATCGTTTTATTATTGTTATTCCTCACTCGCACTGTGCTCTTCCTTAGTGGAACAGCGGGCTGATTGTTGAAATTGATAGACAAAGCCATAGACAAAGAGGACATAATGCGTATGGCGTGATCCTATTAGTATTCGGGTGCTTTTATAGACTAAGGGATGAACTAACTATTAGAGTCTCTCGTGGGTTGTCGTTAGTTAGTCTTTTGAATAGTCCTTGGCAACCACCCGCTTCCACGAATAAGATCCCTCCATATCCTTTTTTGTCTTCTTTGTCTATCGCTTCGTCTATCAATTTCAAGCTGGAGTATGGCAAAATACTGCAATTTTACCTGCATCCAGTCGATTCCCATCCTTTGCTTGATCGCTGCGTGGATGCTTTTGAGCTGCGGGGTGATGACGTCATACGGGCCATCGTGCTGCGTCGTCTTGAGCCGGTCGAACTGCCAGATGCCTCCGTAGTATCCGTTGCGGTAGGTCCTCGGATCGTCGCCGAAGTTACTTTCGGTGTAGGCCACACGCCGGAAAAAGTCTCTGTCGTCCGGAAACACACGGCTACGGTGGATCCGATACACAACCGTTTCGACCACATCTCGACCGTGGGCCCCCGGTTCGAGGGTACGATCCACTGCCAATGTGGAGCCGAACACGCATAAAGCGAAAATCAAAACAGCTCCGGGCATACTGGAGAAAACCGGAAGTAGGAAACCGGATTTATGGAACCGGAAGTAGAAAACCGTGACGGTACCAGGGATCAGGTTTCCCTTCGAACTTAGCAAACTTTTTACCGACGATTCTAAAGCGCTTTTTCCGGTAATACTGACAATTGAACGAGATACCGGAAAACTGGTAGGAGAACCGGAAATAAGAGACCGAGAGTTGTAAATAGGTAGTCGGAAATCGTAAGACTGACTGGGACAAACTTTCACCTCAAGCTTGGCGGACTGTTTACTGATAATTCTGAGAAAACAGGGATCTTATATTGATGAGAGTGAAGTAGCTACTGGATTTACGTAGCTCCCTTGAATCATCTGCAGAGTGGCTGAACATGAATCATCGCTCTTAGAGTGGTTTAGTAGTCTAATCGTAATATGCAAGTGCGGATATTGGATATTTGCGATGATTTACAGTGGTGTATAATAATGCTCATTCGAGTTAAATAATTCAATGGGCCAAGAGAGGATTTTCAGACCTTTATGAATCATGACATGACATCATACGGCACCCATTCACATTCTACTATTGAAATGGGGCAAGCTAAGATAAGTTTGGAATTTTACTTACTTCCGAATACCTGGGTGTTATCTTTGCACTTAAATTCTATAAATGTCGATGGTAAGAGTAAAAAACAAGCAGTGAACTCCAACACAATGTGTTGATAAGGCGCGTCATTAACTCGCACATATCAACCCCTTTAGTTTTCATTTACAGAGATTTCAAAATAGGCAAACAGCATAAAAAGAGAATTCACGATCCAACACTGCGAGGTCAAAGACGCACCTTGACGAGACCGTGTATTGTGAAAGTAGAAAGCTATTCGATCGAATTTAAGTTTTTTGATCTGCCTCAAGCAAAATCTTATCAGATTCTTGAAGAAAAGTGCTACGGAATAATTTAAGCGAAGAAAGGAAAAATTCTGTCGAACTCCTAGAAGATAAAGTCGATTTAAAGGTATTTTGGGGCTAAAATACCCAAATCACCGGTAGTAAAAATCCCGTTATATTATTGAAAAGAAATTGACTCGATATAAATGCAATTGCATTAAATACGTCTTGATTTTGTTATTTTAAACGTCTTTCCATGCAAAGAAGTTCAACCATGTCGTTGCTTTATTCATTCATGAATTGAAAGTAAGCAATCTACATCCCGAAAATCTACTGATTTGCCGTAAAAAATTGCAGAAACTTGATATACCAGGTCGATGCACCCACTCGTTGAATTTACCAACCAATTTTGTGAGTGCAAATGTGTAAGAATCAATATGCTATAGTCATTTTGGGTGCATTTATTTTTCATGAAACAATAATAATTTCAATCCCGAAAAACCATCAATTTTCCGTATAAAATCGAAAAAATCAAAATATGTCAACTCCCCGACGTGAAAATTAGATTCTACGTATGTAAAATGTAAATACTTATGTATCGATATGCTGAACAGAACTATGTGTGGACAGTCAGAAGCCCGCGGCAACATTAATTCAACAGAAAAACTGTAAAAATTAGATAGGATTTTAGCCGCTTTGCCCGCCTCTCCTCGCTACTTACAACAAACCGTTCTTATACTCATCTCAAAATTTTTCTCAGAGCTTTGGGTTATTATCAGCTTCCATTTAAACTCCGGTTCGATGGCCGAATCGGCTGCCAAAAAAGCAAGCCACTGTTGAGGGGTTCTATGAGAAATTCGTGATATTATCGGCTCTCAGGAAATCACCCCATGGCTAAAATTGGTGGTATAAATGTTTAAGTGCTTAAAATAATCGTATTCAAGAAACTAAGGAATTAAACTATGGAGTCAATTTCTTTTTAATAATATAACGAATTTACTACCGGTGATTTAGCTATTATAGCCCCAGAATACTTTTAAAGCGCCTTTGCGTTCCAGAATCTCGACGGAATTTTTTTTTTTTTTTTTTTTGCTTAAACGATTCAAGAAACATTGTAGTTAAAAATATAAAGATTTTTCGATTTGGACGTATGAAAAATGTTTAACTCGTTCAGGCACACCGTGTATTGTATGGAGTACTGCTGTTATTCGACCGTTGTCTTCAGGTCAAAATTCTTACAAAGAAGCCCCTTGCAAGAGGCAAATTTTTTGTAATTTCTCCCAGTTTTTTCAGCGTTAGGTATATAAATGAATTGTTTGTCAAATTTTGAGGTCAATTATATTTAATTGTAATTTATACTTTCTTTTTTTCCCCTTCATTTTATTTTTCGTATCGAGGAGTCGAGGTTTTGTTGATTTCTTCGGATTTCGATTACTGTAACTTCTCTTCTATTCGGCCGATTTTTATGAATGAGGTCTCTTTTTATTTGTGTTTTAACGGAGAGTAAGGAAAAAATTGCTAAATACATGCGAAACAATTTTTTTTGAAAATTGGATGAATCCTAGCGTGACGGTGAAATGGTTAATGAAGCGTGAGTAATTGGGGTACGGGTATCGGCCGCGTTGGGACCCAAGGCCCATTGTTCTTCGTGACGCCGACGCAGTGATCAGGAGCGTGGGGACGAGAGGGCTTAGTGGACTCCTGTATGAGCCACGTTTAGCAAATGGTCTAATGAGTCTCGAGGCTCATCACAGATTGCACTTACCACTATCCTGGTGGCCCCGGCTATCAGAGCAAGGAGTACCAACTTTTGAAAAGGATAACAGTGTTGTGGAGATATGTCAAAGCAACGTTGTGAACAAAACGGAGTGAGTGAAATTCTCATTCAAGGAGTGCCGAACTGGTCAGCCATCCTCGAATCAGTTCGCTTGCTTCCGCTTATATATGCATATTTTAAATCAGCGCGCCCCATTCTAAGGTTTTTTTAAAAAAAACCAAGAAACGTAGACTCTTGGTATTCATTACACATAAACTAGCGAGCCCCAGAATGAGAAACAAATTTTAATCATTATTATTGACGGATTAGTAAACTTTTTACACGCTTTGGAAAATCTCAGAAGTTCGCGGTAGTCACTTTTCGGTAAGGAACTAGGGGACTCGGTTATTGTATCGAGGGGGGGGTCGAAACGATCGCAAAGGCGGTATACTACGTATACGCGCCAAAAAATTCTTGATTGGCGCATATCAACATTCCTTTCCTAATTTCATTCTTTGAACTCACCAGAATTTTCTCAGGAAATTTTCCAAGAATAATCTTGGGGAAAAATTGAACCAAATTCATTTAATTCGAAACGTACTTTGTACGTATTTTGAGTATTAGCACAATATGACTTAAAGGCAAATTTTAATATTTAAAATGTTCGGAACGTCATCAATCCACACCAACGTTGCGTTGTGGGGCTTTCCAGTGCAGCCGAACGGACGCGTTTCGGACTGATTCAATTGAAGCATGACGCAAGATAAATGTTTTCATTTACTTGTTGAGTAGGTAACTATTAGTGCCTCCCTGTAGGTTTGTTGCCTATCCAGCGAAATTGAGGGTGGACTTCAAATGAACGATATCTTTCATACGATTTCCAAATTTCAAATAGCCCTTTGGTTCTATATGGGCGTATCAAATAGAACTATGTGCAGAGGAAAAGATGGGGTGTGCTCGTTCGTGCTCGGGCTGTTAAAATTAATGGCAATACAAAGCGCCGGTGACGTCAGCGGCAACGACGAGAGAAACGGCGATCGGGGAGGTGGTCTTTAACTCATGAGTCCTGTCCACAAGGCTTTAGATACATGCCCACGGCTCATGGGTGCCGCACTCAGTTTGGCTCTCAGTTCTGTTCGCTGAATTGGAGAAGCGGAATTTCACGTTCTGTCAAATGGAATTATGTGCACGGTGCATGAGCCGTGGGCATGTGACAAGAGCCTTGTGGACAGGGCTCATGAGTTGAAGACCGCCTTCCCGATCGTCGTTTCTCTCGATTCCCTCTGCACATAGCTCTTTTTGATAAAATGCGTCTATATGTAGAAGTGTGGAGCGAGATGGATGTGTACAGGGCCGGATTTATCTACTTGCCGCAGTTGCCGCCCATGGGCCGCCTGTATTTTTCCGCCCCCTTTTCATTTGTTTTGCAACATCAATAGATCGTATTCGACAGTGGTTCTATGTATCGTTTGGTTCAAAACAATAGGACATAACCTCAAACAAACATTTTAGGATTTAATTTAGAAAAGCGGAAAATGAGAAAATTCCTGACGATTTCACTTTTTATTGTCATTTGGTACTCGAGAGAATAAAAATTCGATCACATAAGACCAGTTACCTCAGATTTCTAAATTGACTTTTGAGGCTGAGGTTACATATTGAACCAATCGATATCAATATAATCTCACCTGAGTGATCTGTCGAATACGATCTATAAAAACCATCAAGTGAACGTGCCGGTGGTGGGGGAAGGGTGTATGAGACGCGTTTACTCGTGTTGGGCACATTTTTTGTGAAGGCCCTGTCAACACGAACAAGAGTTCAGTTCCGTAAACCCATCCCTGTTTGGACAAGACCTTCCACTTACAAAAAACAAACGAAAAAATTATGAAAGAACAAACATAAATGTGGTTAAAAATGATAACTTCCACCGCCGCGCCGACCGCACTGTATTGGCGCAATGCGTGAGGTATTCATGTAGTCTTGTAGGCGCTATGCGTCTCACGCCGATCGCTAACCGCTACTGACCACTCTGTTTGGCGCAATGCGTGAAGTATTCATGCAGTCTTGTAGGCGCTATGCGTTTCAAGCCAACTACTGCTGACTGCAGTGTGTTTGACGAAATGCGAGAAGTATTCATGCAGTCTTGCAGGCGCTATGCGTTTTATGCCGACCGCCGCTCCGTTCCAGGTCAAATTGCGCGTTTGGTTTCTCTCTTAACTCGACTAATTAAAGTTGTTGTCTCTTGTATTACCGAAAGACGACAAAATTAGAAATTGCTGTACTTTCACTCTCAGGAAATGAGAGATTTTGTCGCCTTTTCTCGTTTGTAATTTATTTTCTGAATCCGATATTTTTCTCTCTTTTTTTGATCCCTACATTCAAAACAATTCCAAAATTTGCCGCCCCCTACATTTTGTCGCCATGGGCCGCGGCCCATGTGGCCACCCCCTTAATCCGGCCCTGGATGTGTATGTCTCAAGTAAATTATTCTTAATTGGTTGCTTTGTTGCCTATCCGGGTAATTTGAAGGCATGCTTCGCAAGTGAATAAAATCGTGGAGAAGGTAGGGGATCAACTTGCTTACTCTGTATGAAACGAAATACTTCTTCCAAAATCTTTAGGAGCACTTGATTTGATTTATGTTATTTTCTATAGATTTTTTATGCACT